ATAACTTGTGATACTGAGAATTATATTTATTGGGAGCCTAGAGAGAAAAAAACAGACCCAAGTGTCAAGAACATGCAAAAGACTGGCCCAAAGCAAGCCTGGAGCATCTTAGCAGCTGTTTTACTTCCTTTCTCAAAAAAAGATCAAAAAGAACAGACCACGTTGAAACCACGACATAAAAAGAGAGAGACAAGGACACTCTTAGCTGAATCAGGAGTGGCTGAGTTCACACAACACACAAGGCCTTCTTGAACTCGGCAGCTTTAAGCTGGGTGGACTTCCAACTCCCAGAATTCCCCGGCCGGCAGAAATTGAATCCACGCATATTGACGTCCTTCTCAACTATTCCAACATAGCTATCAAGGAAAGGGGCCCACCAGATCCATCAAAATGATGACCATCCTCTCTCTCCCTGGCTTACCGTGACTTCTTGGGGACATTTCTTGAGTTCTTCATTCTTTACAGCATTGTCCAGATTCAAGCTGCAGCAGAGATGGGGAGAAATATCACCGTTGAACGTCTTTGTGTCTCTATACCGTTTCCCCGAAAATACAACCTACCCCGAAAGTAAGTCCTAGCTTTCTTTTTATATGTGCACCCAATATAAGCCATAATGAAGACCCCCTCCCACTCCAGAGTGCATAGGTAAAAACTAGGATGGGGATGAGGGGGTGGAGCTACCCTACTACTTACCTTCGGAGAGTTGTAGCCAGGCCTCACACACCATGACACCTGCCTTGCCAACTCATTTCTTCTGCAGCTGGCAAGGCTCTCCTCTGAAGGCCTCTGGAGCTGATAAGAAAGCTCTGGATCGATCCAGAGCTCTGTTATCGGCCGCAGAGGCCTTCAGACAAGCCTTGCTGGTCGCAGAAGCAGCTCCTAAAGGCCTCTGAAAGCGAAAAGGAGGCCAGGGGCAACGCGCACAAGTGAGTAGATGACATTCCCCCCAAAATAAGACCTGGTGCCTTTTTTTGGTGGAAAAAAATATATAAGACAGGGTCTTATTTTGGGGAAAACACGGCACATCACTGTTCCTCAATGAGTCTCATGCTGATACCGATTCACAGACAAGTTTTGGGGAAAGAATTCCTTCACGATGCTAGCTCCCAGATGGAGGAAAGGGATGTTTGCTGAATGCTATCCTTCCAGAGAAGAAAATGACACGCGAAGCCACCGCACGCAGGATGTCGAGATCAGCAATGGGGTGGGGAGTGTGGCCAGCATGGACCTTTTTCTGTAAAAGGTAGGTTACTGAGTCTTTATGCAGAATGCAGAAAAGGAGGTCTTCAGAATTATGTGCGTGTGTGTGTGTGCGCGCGCGGTGGGGACATTCAACTACTTGCGTCGTTGAGTTGGACAGTCTACCATCTTCTTGGTTACTTGTGTCTCAGTTGGCATGATCTCTCTTCAACTCTCAGCCTCCTTTCCAGGATAACAGAGGACTTTGAAGGGGAAAAGGTTTTCGAGAAGTATTGTCCTTCCCAGTATCCGTAATCGTGATTTTCCTAGACTCCCTGAAGTTATGATTTATGCAGAGAAAACATCAGATATGTGTATTAAAAAATACACATGCCCGAAAGTTAAAACTCACACAAATATCAAACACACCAGCTGTTGTTGGGCCTGTATTCCTTTGGGACCTTAATGCTGACTTGCCAACAAAGGTTTAATAACAAGTTGCCCAAAGTTCCATTCCGAGGAGCACCATTCGGTGTTGGTTTACAGGTGGTCCTTGACTTACAGCAGTTCGTTTAGTGACTGTTCAACTTTACAGCCACACTGAAAAAAAGTGACGTATAGTAAATATGACATATATTTAATAATCCATGTTATTACAGCGGCAAGAATGGTGTTTGCCCAGAAATGGAAGGTTAGACAAAATACCTAGTAAAGACGAGGTGAGAGGTAAGATTTTGATCTGCACTTAAATGGATAGATTAACCTTGGAAATGAAAGATAAAGACGAATCTGATTACGATACAGAATGAATTTTATTATTGGAGGGAACGGAAAGGGAGTTCGTGAAATGAAGGATTCAACTGACACGTAACCGAAAGGGTTTAAGATATATAAAGACCTAACGTATATACGGGTACATAAGATCTTGTATGAGGTGTAAGGACGACAATTTATGTCAATGGAGTCCATCAAGTTCAATGTTTTTAAATATTGTAATCAATAAAATTTGTAATTAAAAAAAGAAAGGGACTTATGACCAGTCCTTACACAGGGCAATCGGCATTTATTTATGAAAGTTGCAGCATCCCAGAGAGCAGTGGATCGCTGGCTTCCAACAAGCAATGGGGAAATAAGGTGCAACTGGGCTTTCTGGTTTGTTTGTTTTTCCTTTGAAGACGTTTCGCTTCCTGTCCAAGAAGCTTCTTCAGCATCCCCATCACCCAGTCAGAGCGGAAGAAGCTTCTCGGGAGGAGAAGCGAAATGTCTTCAAAGGAAAAAAACAAAAAAACAGAAAGTCCAGTTGCCTCTTGAAAGAAAAGCACCTTTGGGACGTGACCTGGAGCGACTTTGAGACTTGTGGACTTCAACTCCCAGAGGTCCTCAGCTGGCTGAGGAATTCTGGGAGTTGAAGTCCACAAGTCTTAAAAGCTGCCAAGGTTGGAGACTCCTGACCTGGAGGACTGAGAATCTCCATAGGCATCAGTGTGGGAATCTGGATTCGCTTAATGACTCTGTGTTACACTTAAGAATGATTCACTTAACAACCATGGCAAGAAGGGGGCCACAAACTTATTTAATAGCTGCCTTGCTTAGCAGCCGAAATCCTGGCCCAACTGTGGTCGTTAAGTGGAGGCCTACCTGTATCCAGGAGTACCTCTTTCAACCTGCGCCTTCGTGCCAAGCTGAGGGAGCTGGCAACCTGTCAGGAAAGGCAGCTGAGGGACGTCCCCAAGACAAAGGTTGGCCTTGCTCCAGGTGCTCGGCCTTCCTGCCAAGCGGGAGTGAGGCCCCCTGCTCACCTGCCATTCGGAGAGTCCAAGGTCTTCTCCTTGTGCCAGGATTCCAGCTTGTCCAGGTTGTGCATGAGCCCTGGTTTCTCATGCATTGCTTTGGAACTGCAGACAAATGGGGGAAGGGAGGGAGGGGGAGGGAGGGAGGGAGAGAGGGAGGGGGAGGGAGAGGGAGGGAGAA